AGACATACTCGGAAAGATTGAAAATATTGGGACTCTACTCATCCCAATACCGCCGACTTCGACGGGACTTAATATTGGCATATCACACTGCATCGATCCAACCACCCTTGCCGTTCTCTGCTGATTTTATCTCATAATGATCACCTCAGGGGACATCTACTAAAGGTTAAGACCCAGAACAGGCGCCTTGATTGCCACTCGTTTGCAGTCAGAGTGTGCGGCGCATGGAATTATCTCCCATCTGATGTAGTGTGTGCTCCTACAATTGAACTATTTTACTCGCAACTTGATAAAGCATTGGAACAGTTAAAATTTCAACATCCGTGAGTGATCACGCACATTGTTATCATTGTTATTTTCTCTTTGTGAAGTTATTCAAAACATTCTGCAAAAATCCTGTGGGGTATGATAAGCTTTAGCTTTGTTAAAACGCCCATAATAAAGCTTTGATTTTGACTTTTCCTGGTTGCAACGTGCTGTCTTTTTTGTTTACCGTTTTCATGCCTTTTTTGAGTCCTCTTCTCTCCCCACTTCCCCTGTGTGAAAGTCGTGAAAGTCGCTTAACCCTGACCCTTGGGGTGCACAAAGATTAGTTGGACTTGACGTGACTTGACTTGGCTCCGGGCAGAACCGGTTTTCGGCCTGGCCATGCCGGAGTCGTGCGGAGTATTTCTCACCCCACAACATGCTCTGCTATATGGTCTTCTCTTTTCACTCACACTAAACTGAAATACTGGCGGCTCCGAAAAATCTCACCCTGTTTGCCCATCTCCCGCACGACGTAGTGTGTTTTCCGCCGTTGTTCTATTCTTTTTCATCCCCTTTCGTGAACTTGTGCCACACAAGCTTGTCCCTTTGGCCTTGAAGGATATACTGCACAGTAAACTTAAGGTTTCCGGTTCCACGGCCTTTCTCATCAATTCAGCATCGTCTCTGACCACCTTAAATGATCGTTCAGCGCTGTATTTTTCTAGTTGAAATCTCCCATCTCAGACTCTGCTTTGTGGTTTATTTTATTCCCCTTCGTCTGTTCGATAGGAAACCTACAAGCTCCTTGCGGTTACGACAAATTCAGCTACTCCTGGCGTTCCCGTTTCGGAACAGTGTTTCACGATTCTCGAGGAAAACATTATTCCGAGTCAGGCTACAAGAAGGATGATGTGATTGGAATGCTCATTCATCTACCCTCGGCACCGCCTCCGTTCAAGTCCCGGGACAATGTAAAAGCGCTGGGGGCCTCAGACGATGCAAACAAAACTGCCGGGGAAGCAAACAAGACCGCGGATGGCTCACAAACAGACGGTTCTTCGGAACCTAACCAATCCCCATCGTTTCCTTCCCGGTTGCCCGAATCCTACAAAGATCGTGTACGTACCCTCCTACGTGGGACTCGGATTGCTATTTCTTGCCTAAATTTTGAATTGCTCATACTGTTCATTTAATTTTTTTTCGGTTTTTACCGTGAAAGTGATAAAGTTTTTATAATTTAGTGGATATCTATTGTTTATCCAAAATGAACAGTACCAGGTAATAAGGTGGAGTCTGTTCCATTCACAAACGCTTTGTTTCACCATATTCTGGCGTTTGAATCGGAAATTGTCTCAGAAAATCTCCCTAAGTGCGATTGCTTTGTCAGTTAAATTTTGGAATCGGAGGTGTTCCGACTGTCTGATTCCTTTAATCATATTTTAAGTTAGTTGCTCTTAGACATTAGCATGGAAGATTAATGTGACTTTTTCAAACCTAACTACTCACTTTTCTTTTTTACTCAAACCACACGAATGTGTTTGAAACCGAAACGCGAAACCGGTGCTTTGAATCATGCGGAATTTCCTTGTATTACTTCTCTCGGTTTCTTGATTCATCGAATAACTGCTTGTACAAACACTTCCCCGATTGAAGGAATTTCAGTTCAGTTCAGATTTTACAGTCATTAACCATGCACTTTTGTGCGCGGATTTTGGTTGCCGTCTTTTGGTCACCCACTTGGATAAAAGAGCAGGATGGAGATTGGAATGTAGAAAGCAAATCCAAGCGGGGGATGGAGAATTCATATAGACTGATGGTAAGAAAATACTGAGTTGATGCATGAGCGGCACTGTTTGCGACACCCAGGCATATCACTTGGTGTGTCTAACCGCCGGTGACCATGATCTGGGGTCCCCAGCCAGGGAGCCTAAGAGAACCTATGCGACCCAGTCTCCTGGTTAGAGTTTTCCTACTTTCATTTCACTTCTTTGTTTGACCGCCGTTGACCTTTTTCCAACCGTTACCTACGGCTTAGGGAAATCGCCGATCATAGGGCTCGCATGAACTGCAGAGACAAGCAACATATTTTTCGGCGGTGATGGGTTTCGAACACACCTCAGGGGCGAAAAGTTGGCAAACTTAACCACTGAATCACAGCCGCAATCATTCGGCCTACTTTATTTCTGCTAGTGACTTTGAACTGTTAAGCTGACTCTGAATGGACCGGAAATTTTCGTCACCCGGCTTTTTGTTTCAGGTCGCTCCTATGATCTTTGCACAGGCCGGCAAGGACTGTTCGAGTGAATGGTATTTCGGTTACTTTCTAAGAGCTGATTTGCTATCAGATAAATGAGAATGCGACCCAGAAATCTATGCATCCTTTTGTTACTTTGATGTTTTTTATAGTCAGTCATTGGATCAGCTAGTAAATTTCGTCAGCCCGTTGCTGCCTTCGCATGTCGCTGGTCATTTTGTTAACTTTTCACTTCTCGGTTACCGTCGATCTGTTTGAACTCACCACTCAAGTGGTTTGTTCTGGTATGGCTGTTACTATGTACCTTGTATCCGAAACTGATAGTCACCAAAGAGATGAAGTACGATGATCTACCTGCTATGAGGTGTTACTGATATCAGATACCTCTTCCTTGTCTGTGGAATCATGAAGTTGACCGACCCTTTCAATGGTTTTTGAACTATATGCCAGAATCCACTTCGTTCCGCAAACCAATATCACCGTCGTGCTTCGCTTTTCGAGTGCTACGTAACTAGATGCCTAGCGCAAGTACTTTTATATCGGTTCAACTGCTTCGCGTTGTGTGAAAAATCAATGCTCATCTGACACGACCAATCAGGTTAGTTTCGTTTTTTACGTTTCAACCACGGAATGCAGCAATGCGTCTTGTTCACGTTCATTGAGGATTTCATCGCCAAACTAAAGGGCCCAGAAACGATCCGGTTCAGGTCATCTCCATCGCCGGCCTCCCGACGGAAGAAAAAAACGATCATTTGCCTGTGTAACCCCTGTGCGTGTCACCTCCGGGTTTATGTGCTGCATAGTTTTCGCATTCAGGGATAAAACCCGCTTGCCCTTACGGGCTATTGTGCAGTAGTGAGGTTGGGAAAACATTTACCCAACACAACTCGTTGATTACGCCCTACTGACAAAATACCACAAGACATCCCCACATTTGAGTGGCACTGGATAGCTTTCAATCGGATTGGCATTGCTCATCGCTGGCACAGAGCCGCTCGAAAATTTGGCT